CCTACACATAAATATCCCTTATTTATGCTTGGACACCCAGCTACCTGATCCTCCCTACAAGATGCTCACCAAGTGAATTCCACTGCCTACCTAGCTTCATAAAAAACCCTGGAGGGGAACAAAATCTGAGAAGTGTGTATTTCTACACTATTATGCAAATTCTCTTGAATAGTCATCCCTGGATTGGTCGATATCAAAATCCAATTTCACTAGGATTAGCTGTGGATTGCTCAGACCTATTCATTGAATTAGGAATGATTATAGCAGAGGGAGCCCCGTGGTTCTTTATTAAGGTCTTTGTGGAAGCACTAAGAGATCTTCAGGAGATTAAAGTGCCAGTGGTGTTTTCTTAACATTTATAACCTGCACAGATACCTGGGGAGTTTGTTTATTAAGAAAAATTCTGCAGCAACCACTCCCCTCCCTAATAGGGCTGTCACAGTGGGCCAGTGTAGAAGCTGCCATTGTGGTCCTAATGAGCTTATTCAGAAACACTGCCAAGTGCTTCCTGGAAACTCACCCCTTGGGGTTAACGGACCTCCCATCTAGTGGGGTCCTACAGGCTTTCCCTCACAATAGGAAGACCATGTCTCAGAGCTGTACATATCCACAGGCCCACGAAATAGAGAATAGTAGTTACTGTTGCTGCCCACAAGAATCAGGATTATTGTAAAGTCCCCTCTCTATATATGGGACTTAACCTGTCACAAAGATGAGGATGTCATTACCCCATTCCAAGGGGTCCAAGACAGGTATATAGTTTATGAATTTGTAACATTAGATATGGAGTGTTGGTGGCCTTTCTGAAAGCCTAGGAAGGGTTTCCCAACAGTGAGAGGGGGCTTCAGCATCACTGTGTTTATGGCCAAGTGCAGAAAAGCAAGTGGCTAGCCCAGACTGAAGAAGACAAAGCTCAAGAATCTTCATTGGGGCCCTTAATAAAGTGAGTTCTATTGACAAATGGGAACCTAAACTGGCTCAAGATGGGACATCCTCCCTTCTTTTGCACCTGGTTAGAAGCCAGTCCTTTTGAGAGCAGAGACGATAAATAATGATAACAGCTATTGTACTGTAACATGAAATTCTGGGGTGTTTTTTGTTTGTTTAGCAGGAGATTATGCTGAATTAAATGGTAGCTTCCAAAAAATATGTCCATGTTCTAACCTCTATGAATCATAAATGAATGTGGCCTTATTTGGGATAAGGGTTGTTACAGGTATAGATAAGTTAAAGACCTCAAGTCAACGTCACCCAGAATTTAAAATGGGCTCTAAATCCAATGACAACTATCCTTCTAAGAAGAGAAAGTTGTAGGCATATTTGAGTCAGGCACACAAGGAAGAGGCCAGGTGAAGAAGGAAGCAATGACAAGTCACACAGCCCCAAGCCAAAGGCTATCTGGAGCTACCAGAAGCTGGTAGAGGAAACTAAGATTTTTCTCCTAAGAGTCTCTGGAGGGAGTATAACCCTGTTGGTAACCTTGATTTTAGATTTCTGATCTCCATAATTCTGAGAAGAGAAAGTTCTGTTGTTTTAAGTGACCAAATTTTTGGAAGTTGGTTAGGAAACTAACAGAAAGACTATGTTAGTTGGCTCTCTGTCATGGTGACAGAATACCTGAGATAGCTTATAAACAGGGAAAGTGGGTTTTTTTGTTTGTTTTTTCAAAAGTTTCAGTCTATGGTCATTTGGCCCTGTTGGTCATTTGGGAAATAATGCAGCAGTACATCTTGGCAGGAGTATGTGGTAGAGGACTGTTCACCTCGTGGTTGCCAAGAAGCAAAGACGAGAGGAAGGGATAGGGTCCCAATATCCTCTTCAAGAATACACCCACAAGTACCTAACTTCCTCCCACTAGGCCCCCTCTTAAAGGTTCCACCACCTCCCAAATCACCATGGGCTGGTGACCAAGCCCCTAACACATGGGATTTTGGGGAGCATTCCAGATCCAAACTATAACAGAGACATAAAAATTCAAGTTTGTTCCAAGTACATTTCCCTGAAAGTTCCCAGAAAAAATGGAAAGAAAAGAGCCCACATTTGGTGTAAGAGAATGTAATAATCATTTTCAAGGCAAACCCTAGTGCTCTGGACTCTGTAGTCACCAGCCGCCTCTTATACTTCCTGCTACATTTGGTCCTCATCACAAGCCTGCAGGCTTTTTGCCATTATTGTCCTTTTACAGATGAGTAAGCTAAGAGTCAGAGAGTAAAGTGACCTGCAGTGAATGGAGAGGGCTCACACACAGGCCCATGTGACTCACTAGTCCAGGATCTTTGTGCAGTCACACCATGAACACAGGGATGCTTGGTGTGAAAGAGATTCTGTTTCTCTTGTTGTTTCTTAACCTGTACATGCTACCATTGCTCTTCTTCCCTTTCCACGAGCCCTCAAAACGCTGAAAGAATATGGGTTTATTTTTTTTCACATATTTTCACAAAAATTATTTTTAACACAAGTATACCTACTGAACAATTTATGGGCATTTGTATAAATGCATACACTATAAATGATTAATTGAGCATAGTATGTTTTTATCAAAGGAAACAACACAAAGATTTCTGCAAAGTCCTGTTTGACTGGAGATGATTAATTTTAATTTTCACATGAGCGGCATAATGCTATTAATCATTTAATATGTTTAATCATAATCTTTGTAATTCCTAATTAGTTTTATTAAACTGAAATATCCTGTAGTTGTGCACAAATCCAAATCTAAGTCCCCTTCTTGGGATGAGGAGGAGTGCATTTGAATTTTGCATTCAAACAGCAACTTCTAACAGAATGGAAAAATATGCTGGGAGCTTGGGGTCTTAATTATTGCTTATGTCAATCCAGCATCTTGTGGTCAGATGCTAAATTCACTCACTCCTTTGAAAAGTAACTCATGATGCAAGGCCATATTTGTTTCATAGATATGAAACCAAACAGACTATAAAAGGAAAGAAGCTAGTCCCTGATCTGTTTGCGTCTCACTGATAGAATATTGTTCTTTAATGATCATTTTACGCTAGCAGAGTTAATTGTTCACTCATTCAGTCACCAGTTCAGACATACACCGATCATTCATTCATTTCATATGTCAGCCAGTCACTTCAGAGGGATGTTTCACATTGTAACACACAGGCTGATCACAACTCACTCCTATGACTGATAGATGTCTTGTCACAGTTTCTAGGAAATTCAGACTTTGCACACAGAGTCCTTTGTGATCCAGTCCCTCCCAACCCCCTCAACCTCTGTATTCTTCTCCCTTTTCTATCTTTCATGCACATTGGAGTTCCCATAGCCTCCCCTGGACCCAGAGGGTCAGTCCATATCTTTGTACATGCTTTGCTCTCTTGGCACACATCAGCCCCCTCCACCTCTTCTTAGACATGCCTTGGAACCTCCAGCTGGGCTATGTGTCCCTTATTTAAGGTTACTAGGCCCTTTTGTGATTTGGATTCATCCCAGAGTGAACTAACTGTATTGTAACTGTCCTTTCCCACCTCTTTCTCTTCCACTCACCTCAGAACTAGGAACTTACTAGTTACAAAAATATCACCATTCTTCTTCCTGTCCACTCCACAGCATAGGAAAAATGACTACATTGTTTTCATCATGACACTGCACTTGAAGGCTGAGGAAGTCACCTGGTAGGGCATTTGATACTGAATCAGCTTGGGAAAATGCTATGCCAGCCACTGTGAGGTCTTGACTTCAAAATGCAATTCCGTGTATATAAGGAAGGAAAATGCAAATGAAATCTCCCAGTAACTATGAGGGGTGAGGAGAAAATTGCTAATTGTGCCATGTTATTTGGATGTTTCTTTTACATTTCACTCTGTAAGATTGCCTCCTGTAAATCTCTATTATTTTACACCTGGATGCCTGAACTGATAGTTTTATCCCAGTTGTATGCTTCTAAATTGCTTATAAATAGGTGAGGATGATTCTTTGCTCATAAATTTGATAGATTTTGGCATAAACTCTCCATCTTAGTTTCAGAGGTATGATGTGAATGGCGTGTACTGCCACCTAGAGGCAGAATTTGCAAATTGCAGAGAAAGTATCTAAAAATGAAGTTCTATCCCAATGTTTCTTCCACTTTTTCCCTAGTCCCTGCCTATATACAGGTGTCAGAGTAACACTAATGTGTCTAGGCTTATTGTGGGGGAGGGCAGGAGAGAATAATTAGTGACACTAAGACTATTACATTGGCTACACCAGTACAGCCGCAGATCTTTCTATAGAGATGGAAATATTTTAAATGCTCACTGTCCAACAGATAAGCACTAACTACGTGTGGTTATTGAACACTTCAAATGCAGCTAATGCAAATAAGCAATTTTACACTTTAATTTTAATTCATTGAAATTTAAATAGACACATGTGGTCATTAGTGGTAGACGGCTCAGGTTTGTACAATTAAAAGCTAAGTTAAAACCTTCGAAAAATTAAGCCAGTCAGCCCATTTTTTCCACTGCAGAATTCCAAAGGGTCTTTTCAAGTTTTTGACGTTTGTTAATATTTTATCAGCACAGCCTCAGCAATTATGTATGCATAGCTTAAGAATTTGAGCAGTGTTGGCTAAGGAATACATAGTCTTACCTTTAATGATTATTATTCCATTTTGGATGAGATTTTCATTCCCCACCTCATTCCCTGCAGCACTCCTAGTCCCCTTCCTTTGCTTTATTTTCTCCATTACTGCTTATCTCTGTCTTCCAACTCTACATTTATTTGTTATTGGGGTTCATTATGTCTTTCTCCTGTGGGGATTATGACCCACAAGGGCAGAGACTTCTATCTACATCGCTCACTGCTGCATTGAAGAGTCATGATGAGAATTCACTCAGTAGAGACTAAAAAATAATTGTTGAATGAATGCAGGTCTCTGCATTTCTTCCCTTATTCCTTTGTTCTGCCATTTCCCAACATATAGGGGAAGTGACAGCTCATTGGGATGGAGCATTTAGGTCTACTCAGAGCCTCTTTGCATTTCTCTATTCCTTTAGCAGACAGATGATGCAGCACCAACGGATGGCCAGCCACAGACACAACCTTCTGAAAACACGGAAAACAAGTCCCAGCCCAAGAGGCTGCATGTCTCCAATATCCCCTTCCGGTTCCGGGATCCTGACCTCAGACAAATGTTTGGTGTAAGTACTGCCTTTCTCGTCAGTTTCTCTGTTCATGTGAGTTCTTGGTATTCACAATATTAAGGCAGAATATTTGCATGGTGGGCGGGAAGCGTGTTACAGTCTAGTCTATGGGTATATTGGAACTACCAGTCCTTCTTGGTTTTAAGATAATGCATATTCTCATGTATTTATACATTGCCAAATGATCTAATAACTAACTTGGGTGTCAAATGGAAAAGAAACTCCTAGATTACCCACTGTCCGTACAAGCCCATTTGGAATCCCAAATCCAGTGATCCAGAATTTCATGTTATAGCTGAAATAAATATTGGGAGTCATTGCCAACTTATCCGGACAGTGAGTCATGGCATATCTGTCCAATTCCCTACTCTTTCCCAGGCATTGTGCATTATAGCTGCAGTGTAAAAGTGGTTATGCTTAAATCTTAGTTAAAAAACACACACCAACACCACCAACAATGGAAAAATCCTACTGATTTCGACATCTGATTTGATTTTTGTAGTATGCACTCTCCTAAAATCAATGACAAGGATTCAGAGGTATTTGCCATGCCATTAAATGCAGCAAAAGCCAGGCTGACACAGGTAATCTGGTGAAACACAGGGCAGTCCAGAAGGCACCACTAACCTTGAGAAAATAAATGATAGTGTTACATCCTCATAGGTTGTCATGATCTTGATTCATTTTCTGAAAGATACCAGTCTGCATCATCCACGTAGAGAAGGGATGAGTTTGCCATTTCTTTGGTCTCAGCTCCACCAAAGGACAAAGTTATGACAGGGCTCAGATATTGTTTGTTTTTTTGCAAATGTACTCACTCCATTTATCCATGACCTTCCAGTGGTAGCCAGTATCTGTGCGTTCAGTGAAAGCATTACATCCTTTACCTTTGACTAAAGGTAGGCTGCTTGGAGACTCTTTTAAGAGTTTGTGGACAAATGCAAATATCACAAAAGGAATAAAGAGATGCCCAAGGTAAATACCTCCTTCTAAACAAAGTTGTTGGTGTTTTTCACATGAAAAGGGAGCTCATATCCATTACTGAGGGGCTCTGTGATTTGTGGGTTAGCTGGCACCTTTTATTCCTTTAACACACATGATGGTTATCAAGTATGCATCTGACACAAAAGCAGAATAAGCATCCTAATATTTAAGATACCCAGGCTTGAATCCTGACATTTCTGTGGAAAAGGTCAGCTTTTGCACTTTTATCTCTCTCATTTGGTAATAACCTTGAGTTAAGCCCTCTAACTCTTGCAGAACAGAGATACCCTCGGGCACTTTCAGGTCAAAGATGACTTTGAAAAGTGCAGAGCATTCAGAGTTAGAGTCGAGGTTAAGTGTGTGCATAGCAGTGAGACTAGGTTTGAGTGATGGCCAGCCAGAGGAATTATATTCTCCTTGCCATGTCAGGTCAGGAGGATGTCTTGCTATTCAGTCTATCTTTACTCATCAAGTATTGCTGTGATGTTGGCTTTGAACTTGATCCTCATAATGACCATCCTGGCGCTCTTTCGTGGCATCATGCATTGCAGCAAACCCCAGTTTCTACCCTGAAGGGTGTGTTTCCCTCCCTGTTCTTCTTGGTTATCGTGAAATTTACCTGAGGCTGCAGTGCTAAGTCAGAGAAATAGTCAAAATATTCACAGTTGGAAATCACAGAGAAGGGATTCTATTTACATTAATATCTGAACCTCTCTATTCTGATTGGTGCCAGGTAGATGGCACAGAAAAAGCTTGCCAAATGTCATATACCTGTTGTTGAACTGGATCAAAATCTACTTTCAGGGCCAATTTTTTTTTAAATCAGGATTTTCAAGAACCTGGACTGGGGTATGATGGTAGAATATCTGCCTCACAAGTATGAGGCCCTGAGTTCAAACCCCAGTACTGTGAAAGGTTTTCAAGCAGTGAACAACATGTTGATTTGACAAGGTGACAGATTCACCTAGCATCTATCAATTAAGAAAATACACTATACATTCATTAATACTAAAATTAATTCTGCTTATCACAAACAGCAATTTTTGTGTGTTTCATCTGTAAAAAACATTTGGCACACATGGATTCATTGATCTCTTACAATAACTGTGAGGCCTCCTTGGTCTATAATCATCATTCTAAGGAAATGCAATTTAGGCCAGGTGCTCGTGGCTCACATCTATAATCCTAGCTACTTGGGAATTTGAAATTGAGAGAATCAAGATTCAAGACTAGCCCAGGCAAATAGTTTGAGAGAACTCATCTGCAAAACCCATTTGCATAACCACAGCACAATGGACTGGAGGTGTGGCTCAAGTGGTAGCATGCTTGCTTTGCAAGTGTGAAGCCCTGAGTTAAGCCTCAGTCCTACCAAAAAAAAAAAAAAGAAAAAAGAAAAGAAATGCAATTTAAACACTAAGAATCTGTACTTCCTGGCCAAATGTTGATGGTCACAAAGCCATTCTTGTTATATGATACACTGAACAGCATGAATCACACTCTAAGGCATATGTAACATTCTGCTTGGTTTCCCATCCTAGAGTTTAGGGAATTTAACATAGTGTCTTCTTTCACATCATAGTCACTGTAAGAAACCATATTTTAAGTCCAATTAAGTATGTCTCAAATCTTTTGGTTGGCAGACATCCTCTCTCCTTTTGGTACTACCTTCTGTCTCTGTCCCTTCACTTTGGCAAGGGTTACAATGAAGAAAATTACAGAGAAAAGCACTCACAAAGATCTTTGTACTGTTTTTCCTTTGTCTTCTTTGTTAAATACGTGCATGGAGATTTCAATGTCAAACACACAAGGCACAAAAGCAATCTCCTTTTTCAAATTGTCTACAGCCCTAGCAGTGTTCCCGACAACCTCTGCAACCATTAGTACTTCCACTTGGATGTTTCTGCAACCACTGCCTGCTTAATTGTTGCCACAGGTGTCTCACATCTTATTTTTAATTTGTGGCCTCAGTACCTCTTCACTGGGATTGAAATCCTGGGTGTACCGTTCTTGTATCTTTCATTTTATGGTCTTTACTTCCTCCTCTTTCTGATGTACTTGTTCTGATGTCTGGCATTAAATCTTCTGGTTCATGATAGACTTATTTTTCTGTTTTCTTTCAAGATGGAACATTCCTTGGCAAGAGGTTATATGACTGTAATATACAAGGCAGAAGCCAGTCATTGAAAAACATCAGTAGGGGTGTGAGTGAACGGATCTATTATATTATTAGAGGTGTTTGTTCCAGATGTTTCACCGGAAGCGTTGTTGATCCCAGCCATGGCTCACCTTCCTCTTCAGCTCTGTTGTTAGATCAGCTAAGGACTGAGCATCTATTTCCTGACTCCAATATGGTGCTCCTGAAGAATGCTCAACATAAGCTAGTATGTAAAATGTACACGTTTCTGGGTTTGGGATGAGAGAAGAAGGTTAGGATTCGTGCATCTCTCTGACCCACCACATACCATCCTGTATACAATTCTATATTGTTTTCAGAAGCAGTTTCTCTGTGAGTCCAGGTCTCCAATTTACATAATACCCTTGTTTGTGTCACAGCCTTACTTTTGTTATCAAAATAGTTCTGGGCAGGAAAATGATCTACTCAAATCTCTATTTGTCCTCTACCCCCCAAAAAAACCAAACTATCCAGTGGATCACATAACTTAGGACATGCAAAACATGCTTTTTTTTTTTTTTTCATTTTTCTTTTATTATTCATATGAGCATACAAGGCTTGGTTCATTTCTCCCCCCTGCCCCCACCCCCTCCCTTACCACCCACTCCACCCCCTTCTTCTCCCCCCACCAATACCCAGCAGAGACTATTTTGCCCTTATTTCTAATTTTGTTGTAGAGAGAGTATAAGCCATAATAGGAAGGAACAAGGGTTTTTGCTGGTTGAGATAAGGATAGCTATACAGGGAGTTGACTCACATTGATTTCCTGTGCGTGCGTGTTACCTTCTAGGTTAATTCTTTTTGATTTCACCTTTTCTCTAGTACCTGTTCCCCTTTTCCTATTGGCCTCAGTTGCTTTAAGGTATCTGCTTTAGTTTCTCTGCGTTAAGGGCAACAAATGCTAGCTAGTTTTTTAGGTGTCTTACCTATCCTCACCCCTCCCTTGTGTGCTCTCGCTTTTATCATGTGCTCATAGTCCAATCCCCTTGTTGTGTTTGCCCTTGATCTAATGTCCACATATGAGGGAGAACATACGATTTTTGGTCTTTTGGGCCAGGCTAACCTCACTCAGAATGCTGTTCTCCAATTCCATCCACTTACCAGCGAATGATAACATTTCATTCATGCTTGATGATCACCTTCGATGAGTATAGTAGAGATGGGCTTCCTTGCAATTACAAAGTCCATGCTAAGTTCTATCCACCATGGTGTTATGAATAGCGAAGTCATCATGGTGCCTCCTATTTCTGTATTGAAGCCACACTGGAAGAAAACTGGAATGATGCCTTTTCTTAAGTTCCATGCACACACTTCGAGCTAACCTTTAGTTTAATGTTTTATTTCGTACCTGTTGAACACCCCTCATGCTGTTTCAGAGAAATATTATTTGATCTGAGAATTTCTAAAACCACTCGGTACATATTTGCCCAAGTGCGTGCCTCTAAGCTTCTGGATTTTGTTCTTGATACAGCTATTGAGACACCTCAGGTGCGTTTGAGATGTTGAACTCTGCTGAACGCTGCCATTGAGCAAGCAAATGCTAGTTCTGTCTGCGAGTGAGTTGCGTCTGTTTAAATTGAAAATGTGCCAGCTGTGTTTACATCATTAGAACTAAACTTCCCAATTAAACTGTTGATACTATAAATATAGTACACAACTGTCTCAGCAATGGGGCTTGCATCAGTCAGCATTCTTCTTACAGCTCATTTCACTGGCTTGGAGAACCATCAACCCGGTGGCAACCGCCAAAGAAACAAACATTTGCAACTATTTCAGGGCATATGGTGTCATTGTTTCATTTAGGGAATGACACATGCTAAGATTACTTTTTGATTGGTTCTATCTCAACTAGATCTTATTTTAAAGGAAGTGTTTTTGTGTTGACTGCTTAGAGAATGTTCCATAGATGACATTTGCTTCATGGTTTTGGAAGAAGTCTTTTTCAGGCATCTCTTTCCATAAATATATGTGCTTCCAGGCTCTTATGCCTGAAATAAAAATGATAGCATCTGTGTGAGCTGAATATTCTAGGGCAGTTGTATCAGAATGACTGCTTCTGAGATGCTCACAAAGCTGAAAGATTCTTTACTAGGAAACCAAGTTCATCTTCGAATAGCCAATCCTTCATTTCACACTTTGGAAAATTTTCTTCTTCTACTTTTAATGATTTTATTTCTCTGCCCCATACTTGACACCAAAAATACCATAAAGAAGAACCTTCTCTTGACCAAAAGAATGTTTGACTATTCACAAATGGTAAGGGGAATTCATTGCATGTTTCTTAGTATCTCCATGGTACGTTTTTTGTGGGCCTTCCACATCTTTTCTTCTTTGAGCCTTCTCATTTTCTTCTTGTTCTTTTATGTGTCTCTAAAACAAAGTCGTATGTCTGCTCAACAAGAGAAAGCCCATGCTCCATTGATTGGATAGAATACCTGAGCAAAAGGCACAGTTCTATGGCACAGAATGGCAAAGCTTAAGTCAGATCTATTTTCACTGCAAGAGTTTGAACTATTTATATACTACTGGCATACACATATTTTTTCTGTCTTTCCAAGGAAGGTCGATTTCTCTACATGTTCTAAATGATCACCCCAGTGTATCTCAAGTGATTTTTTTCTCCAGGGTTAGTAGGACATTCTTGGTACTCACTGTCTGAGTCTCTTGATAACCTACGACTGAGGTAGATTGGCCAGGTGGCCTGCTCCTTCCCTACCCTCATGCTTGTATCATTTTTTTATTACCTTTCTACCCTGCTTCTCCCTTGCCCCATTCACTCTGCCTTCTGCTATCAAGGCATGCTTAGTGTTTCCCACCCAGGGGAGAGAGACAGGTTACAAACTATCCTAGTGTAACCGAGGGTACAATTAAAATCCAGAATGCACAAATCACTGGATTGATATGAAACCCCAAAAATGAAAGAAAAAATGGAAGTATTTGCTTTTCTGGTTCTTTGTTCTCATCACTAAAATGGTCATTTGCTTTCATTCTGCCTTGAGGCAAAATTTCCATCTTTCCCTTCCCTGAATCACATCTCAGGATTCTGAATTATCAGATGAGTCTAGTTTTAGAGCTAAGCAGCCTGAATGAAGACTTTCTTAATTAGCATTTCTCCCTAGGATTGCCAAACTCCACAAACACATACACACACACACACACACACACACACACACACACACACACACACATCTATATTCACATAATATAAAATAATATACACACAATCATACATACTATAGATTTATATACATGACACAATAGTCAAATATGAATTACAGGCAAACAACAAATAATAAGTATAAATATGTCCTAATTATTGCATGGAGTATATTTCTCCTGGAAAATCTGGAGTTTAAGTGTAAGGAAGTATTTTTGTTTTACTTAGCTGCCCAGTTGATTTGTATCCTGCTTCTCCCTTGCCCCATTCACTCTTGCCTTCTGCTATCAAGGCATACTTAGTGTTTCCCACCCAGGGGAGAGAGACATGTTACAGACTATCCTAGTGTAACCGAGGGTACAATTAAAATGCAGAATGTACAAATCACTGCATTTCTGGGCTTTATTAAAAAAAAGACTATTCATGGCAAAGTCTTAAACATACTCATTTAACAACATGGAGAATCATCTTGGGAGATTACATTTCAGTGTAGGCTGATCACAGCTGTGTGAATGGCTGGATTATGATGACTATCTAGGTAGCAGAGTTTGCTTAGTTTGTCTTTGTCTTACATGGCCTGGCTGTTTCTAGCTTTGCTGTGAACTAAGAACCAAAATCCTCAACATCATATTCTAACTGAACATTTTATTATCAAAATCCCCCCTCATCAAGGTTGTTTCTGACAATGGCTGGTGGAACAGTCTAGGGGGATCATTACATAAGTCATGACTAGCCATTTTTAATATCTGCTGCTCAGTGTCTGGGAAAATAGTCATCCCCACATAAAGAAAGGAACACTGAACTAACCTTTTGATTAATATTTTGTACCAAGCTGTGATGGTATATCTCATCGGTATGAGACCATGTAATCAGGAGATAATGTGTGTGGTTAGTTTTCTCTTGTTTCAAGCAAATTATTTAACAGTAGAACACTACACTATATACCCACGATATGAAACAAGGGAAAAAATCTGACTTAGGGAACAATTACCAATATACATTGTATATTTTATTCCAGTTCTCTTTTTACTTATAAAATATTTCTATTTCTTTGCAGCAATTTGGTAAAATCTTAGATGTTGAAATTATTTTTAATGAGCGAGGCTCAAAGGTAAGCAACTTAATTCACTTTAGAATTGCTTAGCTTATTGTAACGTGTCTGTAATGAATACAGGGAAACAACTGCACTGTTTTAATCAGCAGATTGTGAAAATACCCATCAGTGGGAATTGCTTTAGAAACTACCTCCTGTTTCCAAAATGGTGGGAAATACAGTGGGTTCAATTAAAAAAATGTAGAGGGGATCACTTAAAGTTGCTGCTTTGTATATGTACAAATCTCAAGTTTCCAGAGGAAAATTACCCATGCTGAAAAAAAATAATGATGTTGCTACATTTTTGTTTTTCAGTGATAATTATGTTCTTTATATTAAAAAGTGAGTTGATAGTCTCATGAGCAGGTAAATATGTGATTATTCTGTATTAATGAAGTGCAGTTATTTTCCTGGGTTGTAGGGGAGAAAATTTCATATACACCAACCTTTTGAATCTAATCAGATACGTTAGTATGTTTGCCGATCCTGATTTGCAATGTGCCATGGCATCAAGTTTATCTTTTGCTAGGAAATCAATTTTTAAATAGATTTTCCTGGAGCTAACAGTGTTAGTAAAAGTCAGGGGGCTACGTGAAGAGGTTCCAGCACCTTCAAAAGAGATGTGTGTTGGGAGAAGAAAAAAAATCACAGTATTCCAAAGTGTGCTCTTAATCAGTGGTTGTCTTAGGCATGGTCCCAAATCAGCTGCATCTGTAGCATCCCTACCCTCCCAGAACTTATTAAAGATACACCTTATCCAGCTCCAGCCTATACCTACTGAATCAGAAACTCTGAAATTGGGCCCAGCAGTCTGCATTGTCTGCAACCTTCCGGAGCCTGTCTTTACATTTACAGGGTGCCTTTCTCTTTTATACAAATGATCAAGCCTTCACCCAGTGGTAGAATATCCTTTTGCCCACTAGTGTTTTTGTCATTGTTGTTCTCAGAGCCTCTCTTCCTTCCAGTACCCACAGAACTTCAAGATCTTCCTTGAGGAAAACAGTGCATTTGAGAATATCAGCCAACACTGGGCATAACAGCAATGATGATGGAATGGATAGGGAGAGAGGCCTCCAGAGCCAGAAAGCACACCTTTAAGTAGCTCTTCTTTGTTTGCTGACTTCTGCTTCTCAGGTCCCCAGGAATATTAGGTTCCCTTCTCCATCCTTAGCCTGTGAAAGTGAATGTTGAGAGAAGTTCTATCAGACACAGAGAGGTCCTGGTTTGGTTCCCATACGTTTCTTTCTGGGAGGTTTCCTAACTACCACAGATTTTATTCAGTGCATCACAAACCACAGGGCCAGCTCTGCTGGGTACCTACCAGCTCCTCCCCAAGGAGCAAATACTCAATTTATTACTCCTTGCACCATCTGCACCCTCCTTCCTCATAAATATATTCAGTATTAACCACACAGGACAATTTTGATGAAATTGAGGGAGAAAAATTCTAGTATTTGCTCCTCCACAGACAAAATGATACAGTGATGACTTCTCGAAAAAAATCCATTATTCACTGAGGCTTTGTTTGTTCAGGAGTTTTGTTATTCTTCTCTAACTTCAGATATTTCACGGTCATTCTTGTAATAGGTCAGTGTTTCACCTCTGAGCTGGAACGGGGTGAGGGGGAGATAATCTTATATGAAAATCATAGCACAGATGACCTCTATACCAACAAAGTAAGGTGCATTAAGAGAGAAGTGTGCCAAGGATAATCCTTTCGATCCAGACAAAGCATTTTGGAGGTAAACAAAATGATTTTAAATCTCCAAAAAAGAAAAATGAATTATGGAATCACTCACTCCTATATGCTACCCAATTCTGACTACCAAAGTCTGGCATACCTTTTGAAAATGTGGTCTTCCTGTATACTTAGTATCTGTGTTTACATAAAGTAGTTATATATTCTCAGAATGCACACAAGGTTTTGGGTGATGTGCCTTGGTTCTCTTGTGCCCACAAAGAACTTGATGTGTTCTTGGCAAAATTATTATAGTGGATGGCCTGCTATATATTTTCCAACATTATGTTAACCTTGAGCCTTTCAGTGCCATCCCACCACCACCACATTGCAAGGTTTTTGTGCTTGTTGCTTATTTTATTTTTAATTTGTGTTCTGTTTTGTAACTTTTGCTAGTTGAAGAATGCTATTTAATTCCTTTCGAGAGCTGTTTGAGGACATTAGCAGAATATTGTTTGCTATTTTGAAAGTACAATGGTGGTGCTATTTTTAAGACTTCTTCCGTCATTCCCATGTTTAGCCTGTCTCTGGGGGCTTCAGGAAAAAGACCATTTAAGTTTGCTGCATCTGGAACCTAAGTTTGTTAGGCTTCCTTTTTTCTCTTTTGGATTAGGAAACATCCAAAATAGACTCTCTCGCACAGTGGGAGTACTCTGTCTGAAAGAACTTGCCTGGCAGGTGTGGGCGCTGACTGGTGAGGTGCTAGTGGAATGTCACCCTGGTGGTCCAGCTGGAGCTATTCAATGGGGGCAGTGGCTCACACAGGGATGTTTGTCAGACCTGATGTTACCCTTTATGGGAAAGGGCCTTATTTAGAGAAGCGTTTCCATTTTAGTGACTGAGAAACCTGAACCATTGCTTTGACCTTATTTTCATCACTTGATTTTAGAGAGACAGATAGGAAATGGATGGACCCTCAAGAACCAAGAACTCTCCTCCTGGCTATTGTTTTCTGTGGGACAGTTGTAAGGCACACCACTCAAAACCCAGTGAGGATGGCTCCATGCCTGTGTGCATTCAGGGAATGCCTAGCCTAACTACTTTAAATACATATAGGTACCAAGCATCCAAGAAAACCACATTTTCAAAAGCTATGCCTGACTTGGGTAATCAGAATTGGATAGCATGTAGGGATGAGTGGTTTTATAATTCATTTTTCCTTTTCCATGTATTTTGGAGATTTAAAAATAATTTTGTTTACCTCTGAAATGCTTTATCTGGGGAATGCAGCCAGATTTAGCTACTCTCTAATATACCTAAGAAATATACAATTTGATCTTTGATTCAGTATATACATACATATATATTTGTATATATATATATTTGCACACATATGTAAATATATATGCATGTATGTATGTATGTATGTATCTGTTACACTGCAGATGAATCATTAACAAGCGAAACAGATGTGCTTCTATTCTCACAGGTTTTCCTGAGGATTGGGAGAGAAATAGTTCAGATGAGTAACTAGAAAATGTGCTGTGTCTTACAGTGATAAGAGAGGCTGTGGGTACTCCAAGCAGGCACATTGTTAGAGGTGGGAAGGCTTCTAGAAAAAAAAGGGCCACTTAAGCTGAGGGTGAAAGATGAGTGAGAATTTCCAGGAAGGGGAAGGAGGGATGTCTTCCAGGGAAAAAATAGCTACATGTACAAAAGTCACTAGGAAGGAATGAGATGGGAGGCTTTTGGTCCACAGGAATCTTTAGACCCTTGTCAATGTCTCTCTTCTTATAAATATGAACTCTCAGCCTGAGAAACTAGAAGACTTGATTTTTCATATCAAATGAAAACTATTTGTGCTCCTCCATCCAGAGTGCTTTGGAACCTTTATTGAAGATACAAAACAGGGTATTTACATGAATGCTAATAGGGAAGATATCATCTGAAAATACCAAAGACCAAAAAGGAAAGATAATTAGGCTATAGGAAGGCCAGAATTTACAATTCATAAAATGATTTTAAAATCAGAAAGTCATACTGATCTGGTACTGCCTGTTAGGGTTGCCAAACATCGAAGATAATAGAGCCCACAGACTTTTCTCTAAGATGTGTGTGCCTTAGCTTGGCTCCAACACTGTCACCATGGTAGACCTGGAATGGTGTGTGTCTCAGTGGAAGAGCAGGAGGCCCCTCTCTGTGTGGCCTTTCTCCTTGTACTCTTTCTTGTTCCCCCTCAGCCTCTCATCAGTCCCCAGACTCTTCAAGTCATGTTCAAATATGTTTGTTTCCTTCTCTTCATGGCCAAGATGAAAACAGTCCTAATCTTTTTTTAGAGAAGCAAGTTGCTGCTTCCTTGAGATGCAGTTCTGACCATGAAGCAGGTCAGCACCAACAACCTTAGCATCTTCCTTTAGAATTGTCTGGTACCTGGGATTGGTGGAGAGGGTGCCTGGTAATGGAAAGACCCAAGTAATATCCCTTGGATGCTCAGGCAGCTACAAGATGGGAATTCTGAACATCTTCTGACCCAGGGCTCTTCTGATTAGTTGGAGGTAGACTTGTTCCCATGTATCTGCTAGAAAAGCCTAATTAGTGTTTTGGGACAAAATAGACCAAAACACTAAGTAGGCTTCTACTTTGAACCCCACCTTGATAAATTTCATCTAGTCATCCAACAGCTTGAAATGTGGGGAATACATTGGGTGTTCTTCCTAAATATATACACTTTCCTTAGGGTTTCAAATATACTGCTATCTCCTCTACCTCATCTTGATACACTTAGTGCTGCTTTTAGGCAAGCAGGTTCAGAAGAAAACCATGAGAAGAAGATTCTTTAGCATAATGTTACACAGGTGTATTGAGTATTTTGCCCACTTGGCTATCTTCTTCCTAGTAGTACTGCCTGCTGATTGCCATAGAGAGAAACTATGCTGCCTTTCCCTAATTTAGGGACAGTGGATTTTCTCATCTTGTCTGGTGAGAGAATATAAATCCAGAATCCAAGTTTCCCTTATTGCTTCCTGAATGTATAGCATTGACACTACAGAGTTAGGTTTATAGGGAAGAAAGAATATTGCTACAAAGCCTCGAGCATGCCACATTTGCTGTACCCACAATCTAAGCTCCAAATAACTGAGTTATAAGCTCATCCTGCCCTACAGATTGTTCTATCAAAGCCAGCAATATAAAACCCTAACTATTCCAAAGACCCAAAACCTTCTGATGGTTTTGGAGAAATGAGATACTGTGGAAATTCAGTTGCTGGGCCACAAAGGTAGTGCTTGTAGACAAACAGACTTCTGGGCTCTGCTCTTAGATTCTGATCCAGGAGTAATGAAGAGGGATGGAGACTGTAAGTGTTTAATACACTTCTAGAGCCTTGGGATGCATAGCTGAGTTTGGGACCCACTGGCCAAGACATAGAGCTGTCAAATGGAACAATACCCCTCACCCTAATTCTGTCCTTTTCCCTTCAAAGAGTTTTTTTTTTTTTCCTGAAACTATTCAGTTAGAAGGTATTTTGACTATCCAGTTTGGGCCATGCAATGTATGTGAGACTAAGCTGGTCCCTTCTTTGTAGAACATGCAATCTTGTTTTAATGAAATAGTTCAGGCTTACCCTGATTGCAAATCCTCAAAGTTGCTATAGGGTAATTCAGTCCAATCTCCCAAAGTAAAGAAACTTAATTTTTCTCTCTGTATAGGATCCCAACACATAATTGTCTGCCTGCACTTGAACACATCCACAATTCATGTCCTCCATGAATGACACCATCTTTGCAATTGGAGAAGTTACCTGTTAGCCAGCCCATGGGGCAACACCTCTTCTAAGCACCCCTACATTTAGAAGTTGCCATGAGACCACATTAGTGGAAATTGCGAGCCAACACTAGATGTTACGGACCACTACTGATTTGTACTTACACAACCCACTTTACTCTAACTCAGTAACACAATGCCATTAAGGGCGTTTTGCTGCTTCCCTATTACTCAGCACAAACAGAAGTTTCGCTCACGATTTCACCCTTCCCTTTACTCAGCACAAACAGAAGTTTCGCTCACGATTTCACCCCATTTATACTGTGAAAAATAAAAGGAGCTGAGCAAATTTACAGTGGAGTCATTCAAAACGTTGGTGTATATATTTCCGAACAAGATGTGCAAGTGTGTTTAGGGGTTTGAAAAATAATGTCATATTTTCTGTACTCTTCTTAGGAACAGTGTCAGTGAAGATAAAAGATGGATTATAAGAATGTGAAGTTTAGTGGGGTTGATTTTTGAGGCTGAAATATTAAAAGCAAAATGTACCTGTGGTGAAATAAAGGGTATATTTGTTATGCACTAGTGAAAGAGGAAATATGCCCAGAATATTTATATATCCCTTCTATTCATGAGGATTCCTGGGTTTGCTACCTTTCAGTCTAGTAAGTGAATACCAGCCTAGTGTCTTAAAGTTTTGCAATACCAAAGGTTTTGGCTAATAATGTAGTGTGGAAACTTGTCAGATATGTTATTTGGGAGGTGGGGAATGCCTGCACTTGAACACATCCACAATTCATGTCCTCCATGAATGACACCATCTTTGCAATTGGAGAAGTTACCTGTTAGCCAGCCCATGGGGCAACACCTCTTCTAAGCACCCCTACATTTAGAAGTTGCCATGGAGACTCATTGTGGAATTGGGAGCCAACACTAGATGGTTCGGACCACTACTGATTTGTACTTACCACACCTTTACTCTTAAACTCAGTATCACAATGCCCCAGTAAGGGCTTTGTGCTTCCCTTTACTCAGCACAAACAGAAGTTTCGCTCACGATTTCACCCCATTTATACTGTGAAAAATAAAAGGAGCTGAGCAAATTTACAGTGGAGTCATTCAAAACGTTGGTGTATATATTTCCGAACAAGATGTGCAAGTGTGTTTAGGGGTTTGAAAAATAATGTCATATTTTCTGTACTCTTCTTAGGAACAGTGTCAGTGAAGATAAAAGATGGATTATAAGAATGTGAAGTTTAGTGGGGTTGATTTTTGAGGCTGAAATATTAAAAGCAAAATGTACTGTGGTGAAATAAAGGGATATTTGTTATGCACTAGTGAAAGAGGAAATATGCCCAGAATATTTATATATCCCTTCTATTCATGAGGATTCCTGGGTTTGCTACCTTTCAGTCTAGTAAGTGAATACCAGCCTAGTGTCTTAAAGTTTTGCAATACCAAAGGTTTTGGCTAATAATGTAGTGTGGAAACTTGTCAGATATGTTATTTGGGAGGTGGGGAAAAGTATTAAGACAAAATGTTATTTGAATTATTTGCATTATTAATCAATGAAAATTTATTTCTGTTCATTTCATGTGATTTTTTTTGTTTATTAGAGCAAAGAGTTTAAGATTTATTATGAAAAAAGGTCTTTCCTTTTTTTTTAGGCTTGTAACTTTTATTTTTGAGAAGTAAAGGCTGTAAAATTGACAAATTTGAATAACCCTAAAATTGCATGGAGAAGAGCTGTTCTTAAAACCACACGGCATGACTCTGTAGGCAATGTTAGAGGATTTTAGCATTCATTGTTGAATTCGTGCACATGTTTTCTTTCCTTTTCTTTTTAATTTGCATGTCAAGAGAATAGTTCCCTTTCTTTTTCCTTGTTATTTCATTTTATTCTCTGTGAAGACACTGTAAAATTTATTTTGATCTCATTTTCTTTTTGTTAGATTTATTTTCTTCTGTAGTGACGTTTAGAAAGGTATTTTTGGTATTCTTTGAATTCTTTAAGGGTTACAGCTAACTGGTGACAGAAAAAGAAAACCTTGTTCACATTTGTCGCTTAATTATTGCACATCCTAGTACACTTATAATTTCTCTAATTTGCATGTTTCAGAACTGAAGCCAGAACAAGAAATAGAACTTAAAGCGAGAGAATGTTACAAAGTGGTCGTTGACTGAATAATAATGTGCATGTTGTTTTCCCCTTCTCCCTCCTGCATGCAGGGATTTGGTTTCGTAACTTTCGAAAATAGTGCGGATGCGGACAGGGCGAGGGAGAAATTACACGGCACCGTGGTAGAGGGCCGTAAAATCGAGGTGCATGTTCAAAATATTTTCCTTTTCATCTTTTTTATAAATGTCTGCTTCATGCTCATTCGTTGTTTCAGGTGCATCACTGGCGTCTTGTATGTGACCCTACTCCCTTCTCATTGTTTATATATATATATATATTTATATTTATATATAAAAAGGAAAACTGGCCTTACTTTTTTTTTTTTTTAATTTAACTTTATGTTACTCTTATTAATGCTGAAAGGTGGATGGCAAAAGTGAGACAAAAGAAAGGTTAATCTGAAAGGTTTTGTTTTTTAATTTTATTTTTCATGTTTTATGAACAATGGGTGCAGTAGATCCCAAAGAGAGTACAGTATTACAAAACCAAACAAAATCCAGGGCAGTTTCTTTTTCTCTTCATTTCCACTTCAGGGTTGGAGAGGGGTCCACAGTGGTCTGCAGATCCCACCAAACTGTGAAAGCAGTCACATTTGAAAGATTTGTTAAAAAAGAAAAAAACAATGAGAGGCTTTGTCATTAAACCTTTCATTTTTTTTTTGAAAGACGTCAGTTTGAATGTTTGCATTCTTTCGATTCTGAAGTGGGTAACCAAACAGGATTTTCTGTCTGCTACCTGGCCCTTGTTCATTATGTACATCAGTAACATATTCTGACATGCTGAGTTTGCTGCTGGTACCACTGGGACCTCCCTCAACGAAGCCACAGTGTCATATTTGTTAAAACTTAAAAAAAAAAAAACCAGTTAAAAATGCTTTAGTCTTTGGAGTAAGATGTTGCATATTTTGCCTTTCATTTTCCCCCTCCGACGGTAATCCTTAGGCCCCTCACCAAACTCTCAGTAACCATGGTAACTGTATACAAACTCATGCTGGCGATGGTGCTGAATGGTAAGTGGTGAAGTCCATCTGCCGCTTCACGTATTTAGTGCTGATATATCTATGATACATATATCTCTTTATCTATACCACGTGACTTTTTTTGACTTGTTGTATTAAGTTTTCTTGATGCTCTATTTTTTTGGATATTGGTACGCCTGTAAATTGAGTGTACGTTCTAAGCGAGCCTGGGAGGTTCTGACTGGATTGAGTTATGACCGGTGCACATCTTACTCAGATCGTTAACTTCATATTGTGTTACACAACGCACCCTTCTCTTTTATCCTTTTGTTAGCTGTGACTTTAAAGCTTGAATGATTTGTTAATTCTTGCAATGTAAAAGGCTCTTGTTCCGAGTGTTGAATGCTAGATGTTGCTTCCCCCATGTTCTCTCCCTCCTAGTGTTGCACACGGCTTAAACTTGTTTGTCCCTTCTTTTGACATTTGTTTCCTGTACCTTGTCTCTTCTCTCTTCTATACCACTGCATGTCCCTTCATACGAAGTTTATTTTCCGTTTAAGAAACGGTTTCTTGTTTCTGTGTGTTACCATGGAGTACACGCATGCTTTTAAATCCTCAATTATGCAGTATCTTTTAATTTGCTTTTCCTGTCTCTTTATTAAACTGTTAACTGAGATGACATTGCTTTATTGAAATGATTTGTAAGTTAAAATGGTTATGAAGTAAATGTAATTATAAAAATGTATGATTTTTGTTATGCATCTACTGCTGTTCTATAAATTAAAATGCATTTTAGTTTTGTTTTGTTTCGTTTTGTTTTTAATGAGTAATCACAGTCATAATGCATGCAACTAATTGAATCATGGGTTGACCCTGGAATCCGTGCTCATTTGAGTTTTCTATGTACATAGGTCAATAATGCCACAGCACGCGTAATGACCAATAAAAAGACTGTCAACCCCTATACAAATGGTGAGTAGAAATTGGGCTTTTACAAGAAATCCTTCTACCTCTGAATTTATCGAGTTATTTAACCTGGGAATCTGTTCCAACAAGCCATGTTTGCCTCCACATGGTCAATCTGTCCTTCCTGCTGACCTCCTACAGGGAACCACCTCAATCAATAGAATCCTTTTCAAAACAAAGGCAAATTCAGTTTTCAGGTTAAGCGCACATGCCCTGCTTCCTGTGTCTCCTGAGAATTCCACTCAGGATGGAGATCCAGTAATTATTTGGGTAATTAATTTCATTTGCATTGATTCCGGTAAATTGGGAAATAATGGAGGTTTTATTTGTTTCTTTCTCACCTACATCTCCTTGTTGACCACTACTCATTCCTAAAAGTATGATCACATACTTGGAAGTGACATGGCGGGTGCCTTGTGACCGCATCCTGCAAAATGTCTGAGTGAATTCTTTGCTCTTCTCTGGGTTGCCCAGGGCCACTGGGGGCCAGGTAAGGACGTGTGGTGTAGACCCCTTCAGGAAATTGCATTTTTTCACTTACAAAGAATATTTCTCAGAAGTCCTCATAAGAAGCATTCCCATGTAACTGGAGTATAGCTCAGTGGTAGAGTGCTTGCCTAGCATTCCCAAGACTCTGGGTTCAACCCCCAGCCAAAAATAACAAAAGACATAATATATAATAATATATATGTTGCATTTTAAAACATTGTGAAGTCTGGGAACGGTGGTGCACATTGTAATTCCAGCTAGTCAGGAGGCATAGATTAGGAGGATCATCGCTATTTGAAGCCAACCTTGTACACAAAGTTAGCGAGACATCATTTCAACAAATAAGCTGATTACAGTGGTGTATATCTGTAATTCCATCTATATGGGAGGCAAAGTAAGACAACTACAGAACAAGGCTGTCTCCATTCAAAAACACCAGACCATATCAAAGAAAATAATAATAACTAAAGCACAGAAGGGTTGGTGGCATGGCTTAAATGGTAGAGTGCCTGCCTAGTAAAGGTGAGATCCTGAGTTCAACCCCAGTACTTGCAAAAACATTTATGCATTTATGCTTTATTCCTTCTCAAAATAAATATCTCTTAAGAGATATGGAGGGAGAATCTGTTGCGCTAATCACATACATAATTGAGCCAAAAATAAAAAGAAAGTAATATAAGAAAGTTATACCCATTAAAATGAGTAGGACGAGTGTAGTGAGTAAAATATTGTGTTTAGTGTGACTTCAACTAAGTGATGGAGAGGATTCCACTAAATGGTAACGTGGCATTGAGTTGTAAGTTTCTTTGACTTATAAGGTTTTTAAAATAATATAATTTTATTCTAACCAAAAGGGAAATAGCTGGAATTTCTATTTTTGAAGTTTTAGTTATACATGAATCATGGAAACACAGACTTATTTTAAGGAGAGGAAGTGGTTATAAAAGAAACATTAAAGAAAAGTCTAAAACATATTTTGACTAGTGCTGCTGACAACCTAGCTTCCCTCCAGGGAAGCCACCATTATAGACCATTGTCCATGCTTTTCATTTTTATGCAAATTTTAATTCATTTAATATATACCACTTTATAGTAGTCACAGTATTATTTACATGCTTTCAACATAAATGGTATCATGATGTATGTTGCTTTTAATTGACCTTTATACAACAGTGGAGTAGTTTTGATACATACAGATCAAACTAACTCTTTCTAGTAGTTACATAATATTCCATATAATGGATACATGGGTTTATTTAGAATTCCAGTGCTGGCCAACATTTGTTTGCCTGATTTATTTGTTTTACTTTTGCAAACAATGGCACTAGCATTTGATAGTTTTGTTTTTCTGCCTTCAGCCAATGGCTACCAATTTGAGAATGTCAGTTTGCTGTCAATTTAAAAAGGGACCCTAGTAGCCGGGCTCAGGTGGCTCACACCTGTAATCCTAGCCACTTGGGAGGCTGAGATCAGGAGGATCACAGTTCACAGCCAGCCCAAGCAAATAGTTTATGGGATACCATTTCCAAAACAACCAGGGAAAAATGGCCTGGAGGTTTGGCTCAAGTGGCAGAGCACCTACCTTGCTAAGTGAAAAGCCCTGAGTTCAAACCCCAGTCCCACCAAAAAATAAAAAATAAAATGGAGCACCATTAAACTACCCTCAATGTAATATGACTCTAAGTTGAAATACCAGATAATGTTTTTTTCTGCTGACCATCTTTTTCCAGCTCCAACAATCCAAGATACACCATTAAAGAGCCTAAACAATTTCTGCAAGAGGTTTTGCCCACTGCTGACATGACATGAACCTCTGAGTTATGTATGATGAGGCCTTTCTACCTGGGCAAAAATCGTAGCTCTGCAGCTTGCCAGAATTAGTATGCAATGACGTCAACCTGGTTACTGTGTGTGCTCTTGAACTGTGCAGTAGCAACCATGTGTGTGTGTGCATATGTGCACAATTGCAGGGGTGGTTGCATACCTATGCAAAGGTGCCAGGTGAGAAGATGAAACAAGAAATCCCAATGTGACTCTGTAAGCCACATGCACACATAGTTATTTTAAAGGAAGAGTTACTGATAAATGTCATACACATGGATTGAAAACCAGACCTATAGGATATTGGGACACAATTCAAAGCCTAAGTGCACATAGCCACCGTTTGTTGAATACTGTATGCATTACGTGAAATATTTTAAAGGAGTGGCACCAAAAGAAAGATCTGCAAAGAGTATATTGTTCTATTTTAGAGATGCAGAAATTAAGACTAGAAAGTAATTAATGAAGATTTTTCATTTAAGTTTGAAGTGAATGTCACCGCTGCAAATAGGATTTCCCATAAATTACAGAATGGCATCACTAGAAAAACTGGGCTCTTAGAATCCTTAGCAAGAGAGTATGATTACAGTATAAGAATGCATTAGTGAGCTTTTTCATCACTGTGACAAAATACCTGACGTAAACAACTTAAGAGAGGAAAACTTATTTTGGCTCATGGTTTTAGAGGTTGCAGTCCATGGTTCTGTTATGGGAAGCAGAGAGGTAATGGTGACAGGAGCCAGGTATAACCTTCAAAGGTGCAGCCCCAGTAACCTACTTCCTCTAACTGGGTCCCACCTTCTCCTTTTCACCACCTCCTGCCTGTGCCAGTCGCTGGCCACTGAATTGTAAGCAAAACATTTAAACTCTTCCCACATGTTTTTTTCAAGTGGGAACTGATGGGATCTGTATCATAGATACTGTGATTGTAATGGTAGATAAAAAACTGAACAGGATGCCACTCATACAAACTGCTCTATTTCTTTTACTACTATGTGTAGTACAGTATTATTTAATTACCCAATAATGTCAATATTAAGTAGACACCTTCGTCCTTTTTTGCTGTGTCTAGTAAGTTGAATTCCTCCTAGACCCTAGCTTAAGTGTATTCACAGGGGTAGGTAAAATAAATGAGCCAACAGAGAGGGTCTGAGAAACTGAGTCTTAAATTCTCTCTTTTTATTTTCTTACTGGGTGAAGAAGAATATTTTTCTATGGAGGTATAATAGCGCAGTATATCCACAGAAGAGAGCACACTATGGGGAGCCTGGCAGTTACATGTCACCCCCAATAAACCAGCGTGAGTGGGATTCCTGACCTAAGGTTGTCATTTCCATAGATATCTTAACAGAATCAGAAATCATGTATTTTGTCTAAAATCTAAGTGTTGGGTAGAGGGGAATGGCTCAAGTAGTAAAGCACCTGCCTAGCAAGCATTAGGCCCTGAGTTCAAACCCTACTGCTACAAAAAAGAAAGAAAAAATCTGTTGGTAAAAAAGAAAAAAAGTATTGCATGAACCAAACCAAACACATCTGTAAATGATGTACAAGTGATTACCTCATTTGGGGATTTGGGAGTTGCCTCCTGCCCTACCTATTTCATCTAGTTGGTCTCTGGTATCCTGTGTGCACGTGTTTAGAGAGCATGGGTATGAAGTTTTTGAAACCCCTGAAGTGTATTTCAGGCTTTTGCTGGAATGTATTTCTTTGATAGCCAACTCTGCAAAACCCTAGTGAAGTCTTGTTCTGGATTTCCTTGTGCCTTGTAACTCCCACTACGGTAATAATTAACACTAGGGATCTTAGCCAGCATTTTTCCAAAGAAGGCTAGCACATGACCTTGAACAAGTTAAATTTGTGGGGGTAAGGGAGGTGGGGAGTGCTCATTTGCTGATTGTGTTGCACTCCCTGGAGGCCTAGCCTTGGAGGGGTCTCTCTGAGCTGCTCTGCTCCTGTGTCTGATACTGAGTGAGAACCCACATGCCTGAGCTCCACTTCACTGCCTTGTTGTGTGGGGCCCTGGGAGGCTGAAGTGGGGAGCTTCATCAGCTGTTCTCTTTTCATTTTGTAAGCCTCATTATTTGGTTTAATGTCCTTGATCAAAATCTTAGAATTTGCAAGGCCTGGGGATGTATGCAAACTGCCTAAGAAATTAAAAATGGGATCATTTTGTCTATCTTCCTGACAGTACAGGTTCAGCTCTTCAGTAGGCTTATCCCAAGGGTCTCTTCCAGGTACTACAAGGAGTCACAGAAACTCTGTGTCCATTTACATGTGATTTGCATACATTTACATAAGCCTGCACCAGGTCTGTAAGTCTGAGCATGCCTGAACAGAGGTGATTTTCAAAGGCTGAGTTCTTGTTGTCTTTGATGGAAGACAGTCCTCTGTAATAGGGTCCTTCATTATCTAATGTATAGCATCTATCAGAAAGTAGCTCTTTGGAGGGTGGTAGAAGACAGAATTCTAGTCAGAAAGGAAAGTCAGTGTTTATGGAGCATCAAATTGTATTTGCCAATCACAGTTTCAGGTACTGGTGACTCATGACCGATGGCAGTCCTGTGTACTTTTGCCATTCTAATGAGGAAGAATGTTATTGAAAACAATTAAGAAGAAGCAAAGAAAGAAAGAAAATAAATCTGGGTAGGGTTAACAGCTACGCAAAATTGAATCAAAGAGTGACACTAAGAGAAAGCAGGAAAGTGACATTAAGTGTCATGTCCTGGGAAGAGATGAGAAGCTTAAATTACATCAAGATGTTTTATAAAGATCTAAGAAATGTTGGCCAAGCAGAGGGAGCAAAGCTTTAGATCTAGAATTATCTTACGTGGTTTTATGCAGATTAAAATATTTAGGCTAGTTCCCCTGTGACTTAGAGAGAAGGGGATGATTGTACAAAATAAATAGTCAAGATTAGATTATGTGGGCTTCTAGCAAGATAGGGAATTGTGTTGGTCCTAAATTTAGAAGGAAGCTGTTGAATTCTGAGTAGCAAATTGACACATCTGATTTACTTCTTACAAACCTTTTTGGCCACCATGAATAGAAAGGATAGGGAGGAAGGAAGGATGGTATGGGCGGGAGGAGAGAAGATGGTAAGAATTAGGGCATTTTCAGTTATGGTACTGTTGCTGCAGGAGATAAGAGTATTTCAATTTAGAATGTTGGCAATGGAGGAGAATGGAGGAAATGTTCCAAGTTTTACAAAGAGGATTTGCTAATGGATTATACAGGAGTTATGAGGATCAGGGAAGAATCAGGAAATGATTGATCAAGAATTTTATTTAGGACAGCCTAGAGGATGGGCATGCCACTTGCTGAATAGGAAGACTTGGTGAAAAATAGATTTTGGATGGGTGGGAGAGTAGAAAGTGAGTTTTCAATCCTACCCTTTTGTTCACAAAAGTCTTTGTAGGAGAAAAGATCAGGATTGGAAGAAGTGTGATACCTGCACTGATGCTTCCATGTTCAGCCCAAGCCTGTTGTTTCACTTTGTATCTCACAGGTTCCTGGTTGGTTTCTTGTAGAGAAAACCTTATTGTCTCTTTTAGATGTGAGATGCTTTTAGATATGAGATGATATAGATCTCTTGATGAGGGAGAATATCATGTAATTTTTGTTATAATTATATTGAGCAGACTAGGTAGATGGATGGATGGATAGATAGGCAGATGGATGGATGGATAGATAGATGGATGTAGATTAATGGCTAGAATAGATGGATGGATGGATGAATGAATGAACAGACAGATGGATAAACAAATGGTAAATAAGTTGATAGATAAATAAAAGACAGCTAGGTAGATAGATAGATAGATAGATACACAGACAGATAGGTGTATGAATGGCAAGTTGTTTTCTTGGCCCAAAGAAATGAGGAAGACAAAGGCAAATGAGGAAACCTGATGTCTATTCAGTCTTAGACACTGCTTAGCAATGTTTCTTTGAGGAAATAAAAAGCCATTGGAGTAACTTCTGATCTTTGAGGGGCCATACCAAAATTAATGAAGAGGTCCACATTCAGTGAACAGTGTGCCCAGGTTTAAATGCAAAATGAAATGTTTAAGGGAGCTGATAAAGGTCTATACAAGAAATAAAACTTGAGTGGAAGGGTGTAAACAAAGTCCATCTTCACTGCCAATCAAAGGGCGGACATAGTAGGTGTAAGATGTGAAATAAAGGGAAGGGGAAGAAGATCATAACTTCATAATTTATTATTCATCTAGTGTGATTCCAAATAGAGTTATTTCACAAATTCAAAGTTTCTATGAAGGACTAGTCAGACAGAACATGAAACATTATCTGCAGCTTTGACTCAAGCAGGTTTGCTCTATTTTCTTCTCAGACTCCAGATAAAGCCTTAAAATGTGGATGTTTTCTCATTTCTTTAGCTATTGGACATTTCCTTGTTCAGAAAGTAGTGGAATTTCAGTTGGTCAAATTGAAATCATTTTCTATACTCATAAAACACACATTCTGAGATGTCTGTGGTAATTTTAATTTTCATGTCACTTTAAGAAATTCCTGTGAGACAAGATATGATTCGTATAAGGGAAGAAGCATCAATATAAAATATTAAAAACCACTGGGGCAGAAAGTCTCGGAATATCGCATCTATTTCTATAGGTCTAAAAGGGGGCCCAGGAGTCCCCCTTAATATGTCTCTCAGTAATCCAAGTACCACACTTTGAAAAATCCATTCTAAAATAATCCTGGGAAATGTAAGCCACCTATCTCATTCAAGTTGATGCTGAGAATTCTTAGAAATTTCCAGAAAGTTCTGGTTCTCCATAGATCCCAGGACCTATCTTTTGAGATATCAAGCTCCAGCTTCCTCAGTGAATCTCAGGAACACTTCTCAGCATTTCTTAGACAGACATCCTTTAGGTCAGGTAAGAAACCACATCTGTCTGCCTTCTGGAGGACCTCAGAGTGTTCCCATTGTTTGAAATACCTTGTAACATATCCAACATTTACTTGCCTTTTCTCAGTAACATTAATTAAAGGACATTTAGTATTTGGCCTTCTGCCCAAGGACACAAGACAAAACAGGACCTTTAAGAATTATGGAAATATCATGGATATTTCCATCAGACTTACCGGCAGGAGCAGGAAACAATCACAAATCCTAAAACACCATCATTCTTTAGAGATGGTTTGGGTCTTTGATGTGCTTTGCTGTTTGTGAATATTTTTGCACATTCTTTTCTTGAGTGAAAATTTCTAAGGAGCTAGGATTCACTTTAAAGAACCGTTTCCATCTATAACATTCAGAAAATCACAGGATTCTATGTTAATCTCATAGAAGGGTTATTGGAAAGTTACCTTAGCTATCATGCATTGATTAAGGATTTTTATGGTTTCTGAATGCATTAAGATGTATTCCATGCTAAATCTCCAGGGGATAAAATACCATTTTCTTTGGTATTCAGAAAGCATTTCTGAAATCTCTAATAACTTGAGGTCATAATTATGAATGATAATCACCAAAGTATGCTCCTGCAAAGAACTTTATTTATGTGAACTTTCAAATTTTTATAAATTTAATGCAAAGTGACTTGCAGTGGATTATCTAGCAATGATATATGCAATAAGACAAAAACTGAAATTATTATGGTGGTTCTAAAAGTATTTATATGGTAGAAAATTAATTACATCATTTGAAAAGGTTCACCTGTCACTGGTCAGTAGTTTCTATTCCATTAACTTGCATTGGCAAAAAAATCAAAGAAAGACATGAATTCATTTTCTTATGTATATTTTTCAGATGTTTTTATGCATGCCCACAAAATACATCTTAAAGTGTTAAAACGTATATATTGGGCTGGGTGCCAGTGGCTCATGCCTGTTATCCTAACCACTTGGGAGACAGATCAGGAGGATCATGATTCATGGTCAACCCAGGTAAATAGTTCCCAAGACCTCCTCTCCAAAATAACAAGAGCAAAATGGACCGGAGGTATGGCTCAAGCAGTAGAGTGCCTGCTTTGTAAGCATGAAGCCCTGAGTTCAAACCCCAGTTACACAAAAAAACAAAAGAACTGAGAAACGAAACAATCATATAGATATTGGGTATAGCCTAGCATAGGTTCAATCTTGGGGACAACAAAAAAAAAAGGTCTTTAAATGTGTGTGCATGTGTGTGTATGTGTACTATAAAAGCAATATTTCAATTTCTTTGAATTATGGTTTCTTTGCAGAGATAAAAGTTGTTGAATCAAATGTGCTAATAGCATTTTTGTGTGTTTGTTTTAAGGCTGGAAATTGAATCCAGTTGTGGGTGCAGTCTACAGCCCTGAATTCTATGCAGGTAAGGAGTTTCTCTTTGCACGCTGAACTCTTGATCTTTTCTAAATGTGCTTTGCCTGCCAATAAATAATAGGTTTTGTAAAAATCATATGAACCAAGTGAATCCCTGTCCTTCAAGTTCTGAGTGACTTCTTTGGGCAAAGCCGAGAGAGTTAAAAACTCTTTAATAATTAGAGAGTCACGTGAGTTCCATTGTGGGCTAGGCATGCAGCCCTGCTCTTTGTGACATTTCACATTGGTTTTGCCCTAAAAAAAAAGCATTGAGGTTTTTGTTCAATAGCTTATTGAACAAATGGAAGTGGTTCGTGCCCATTTTATCCCAGTGTGCCTGAATGTGTCTTTGAGTTACACATTGCCATTTGGGGTATCATTCCTTCCTTCCTGGCAAAGCAGAGAGTTAACTTAATTATTCCAATAACAATGTGGTGATTTGGAGTTGCCACGAGAAAGACTGTTTGGAAAACTAGAAAAAATTAAGTTGTCTTTCTCCATGAATCAATTTCCCTTAGCAAGTTTACTTCTCTCTACTTTGCTTCAAGGATATATCTCTCTGCTTACCTCATCCTTAAGTACCAATTACCCTTCACTTGGGAAATCCACCCTCTTAGGAAGTGTAATTTAAAAATTAGGGGAGATAGGAACCCAACAACAACAGTAGCATCAACATCCGATGTGTTTGGCTTGACTCAGATAGATAGATCAGCTATCGCTTGGCTGTCACTGGTGCCTGAGATATTGCTCATCAGCAAGCCTTCCCCTAGTAGCTGACTTGCCACATGGATGTGGGAAGACTTTCTTTGTTCAACCTCTTGCTTTTGAATAAGGGGAAATAAGTGGCAGGTTGATCTAGAATCATTCACTCATCTCATGTTGGTAAGGCACACTCCTTGCTTCATTTCTTCCTGAGATGCCTGATTCCTGTCATTTTCCTGAGACTAGGCATCAGTCCTAGAAGATAAGAAAAAGAGAGGAAGCTTAGCTACTATAGAAGACCAGTTTGATAAAAATTAGAATTTGAGGCTGGCTGGTGGTGGTACACACCCATAATCTCAGCTACATGGAAGATGGAGGTAGGATGTTCACAGTCTGAGGCAAGCTCAGGCAATAGCCCGAGACCCTATCTGAAAAAGAAACTAAAGCCAAAAGGGATGGGGGCATGGCTCAAGTGGTAGGGTGCTTGCCTAGCAGGTGTGAGGCCCTGAGTTCAAACCCCAGTACCACAAAAATGAAAATAAAATGTTGATAAACACAGGGAGGCTCACTATGATAGCTGAGTTCTGGATTTTAGATAGGCAATGTTTGCAGTTGTTCTTCAAGTATGAGTTTTACCAAGAGTCTTAATTGAGTCCAGGGATCACACCACTGCGAAACAGCCTTGCTCACTCTTATGAGGGAAAAGAGCTAAGCTGTAAAGCTTTCTAGGATTTTGTCATGGAGATAACATGTGAGAGGACACACAGCAGACTTAGGGACATGGAAACTATACTCAGACAGATCAAACTTAAATCATGCCTCCCCTACTTGCCAGCACTGTGACTCCAGGCAAATTATTTAATCTCTCTGTGCCTCAGTTTCTTCATTTCTTCAGTGGGGATAACGATAGTAGCAAGCTCATAGGTCTTTATTAGAATTAAAGGGATTAATATGTAGAGTTCGCTGCATAGTAGCACCATATATATGTTTGGCTTAACGAAACTGAGCAAGTTAGCATTCTATATCTGTTCCATGAGGGGAAATATTAGCCATAAGGTAATTCTGATCAATTCTGAGCATACTGCTAGAGATTCTTAACTCATGGAAGGAGAAGCTCTTTAGTTCTCTCATGTCCATTTGGGAAAGTTAATTTCTGGAATCAGGGTTTGGCCATCTACTCAGGGGGCACATTGAACTGTGCAGATATTGCTAGAGTACATCTTGTCCAACACTGAAGAGACATGAGATCTCCCATTGGTAAAAAGAGGAATCAGAACACAGCTTCTGGGCACCTGCAGGTACTCCCTGTGATGGAGAGCAGCCGACCTGAGGAGCTGGCAGGTTCTCTGTGCATGTGATTGTGTGTGTACATGCACCTGTGTGCTGGTTTCCTCTCCAGAATCTTGGGGTCAAGAAGAAGAGGCAAGATGTCTTCCTGTGAGGAGGTTGGCATAGATGTGAGAGTTGTGATAGAGGATCATGTAGTTTTCACATCCTGTGCAATGTAGTTGCTGGTCATGTTTTGCTCTGTTAACCAGGAAAACACCAAATATATCTCCTTTACTTGGGTTTCCAATCCCATGTGTATGTCTATGGGCATTGAAGAGGACATTATGACAGGGTGCTAATTCAGATTGTCTTACTCGTGCAAGAATAAATTGATCTGCATTCCCTTTAAAACATCAGAGCAGCTATTCAAATTTGCTCAGGACTCAGTCTCAGTAGTGAGGTCTTTGGATTATTTGATTACTCTCTGATTACTATGGGAAGAGAGTAAGTTAGGAGGATTACTAATTTCTGAATTCTTTCTATAGTGTTCTAAGCACTGTACATAAATGAATGCAGTAAATCCTCATTGCAGTTCTGCAAATGGGGAAACTAAGATGCAAAAAGTTTGTGTCACTGGTCTGAGACTTCACAGTGACTCAAAAGCATGCCAGATTTTGAAATTCCATTTTGCTCATCTCACACTTGAGTTCTTTACAACCATATTATAGTTTCTGTATTTTTATAAATATTAAGACTCATACCACTGCTGTGTCTAAGCCAGACAAATTAAAGAAAATAGTCATTTTGAATCATTCCAACCTCCACTACCATAGTTAGGTGTGTTAATTGGTTCCATCATGAGACCCTTTAAGGAGACTGAACAACCAAAAATTAGCCCTATGAGCTATTCCAATAAGTTTAAGTCTAAGAGAAATGGACCATAGGAAAATTATTATTGGCAAAATTTAAGTATTTGTGTTGCCCATACCTGGATTATCCCAGATAACAAGATATTTTCTTTTTTACCTGAATGTTTCTATATGTAGGTAGACAGAGTCCATGATATTCAGAAAAGGGAGGGAATATCAGTGCAATTTCAACACTCTGGAGCATTTCCTTTGAGATATTTGAAGACTCCCCCCAAACAGTTAGAATCCATTTAGCTTATGTATGTACGGAACAGATGTATGAAAAAGGTGGAGATAAAGTATCCACTTTCACATGCAGGTATAATTATTCATGTCACTCATCTACATACCTATGACTAAGAATTTATGGAGCATTTTAAATTTCCCCAGATATAAAAATAGTCTGGATTTGTCTTGCAATTTTGAATGTGCCTCAAAACTGAAGTGAAGACCTTGTCATTAATTTGCTTTGAATATTTAGGCCAGCCCTGAATCTGCCCAAGATAGAAAGCCAGGCTTATTACTCATTTCTATATACAAGTCACTTGGCTAATGACAAATTTCATAATGCTCCCATAGCATAATTATCGATCTTCTGAAGTGTATGCAGAATTAACAACCCAGCCTCCAATTGTCTCTCAAAATGGGGCATCAAAAGTTCACATGTTTTGTAAATTAAAATCAATATTTTCAATCTCTCCTAAAGGTAATTTTCCTAATTTAGTAGACTTTTCCCTCACATTTATTTTCTCTTTTAATTATAAAATGGCAAGTTATTGATTTTTGTATATAACCTTTTGATGCCACAAGTGCATTTTTATTGCTCACACAGGGTGGGGGTGGGGAGGTCGGGTGCACTTCTTAATGAGTGCCTTTAATTACTAGCTGAACAGTATTAATTTGCTTTGATAAATTATGACATTTGCTCTCCCTCACACACATTTCAGGAGAAACATTTAGAAAACAGCTCCAAAAGGTCTTTCTTTTGGAATGCTTTTTTTTTTCTCAATTTTCCTCCACTCATGCTGACATGAACTTTTAAATTCTTATCCAATACTAGTCTCCAAAAGCAGATGTACATAAATCAGCATATCCAAGGAAATATATAAACCTGCTCCAAAGAAGATTTGTTTTTGTGTAAAGTTAAAATGGTGATGATTATTTTCCTAAGTTCAATCATCTTCAGACTTTGTGAGTCTTAGTCTCAAGACAAATGATTGGTAAGTAAATTAAAGTTCAGGAAGAGCTTGAAGATTTTGCCCAGTGTGCTTGGCCATACCATTTCCTTTTTTTTTTTTTTAATTGTTGTGCTGTGGGTACATTGTGGCATTTACAAAAGTTCTTAAAATATATCAAATAAATCATACTTGAATTCACCTACTCCATCATTCTCCTTTATCACTCCTCTCCCCATTCCTGGAACAGTTTCAACAAGTCTCATTTTTCCATTTACATACATGTGTACATGGTATTTGCACCATATTCACCCTCCTATACCCTTTCTCCATATTCCTCCGCCCAACCCCTTACTGGTACCAACTTCCCAGGCAGGACCTATTCTGCCCTCCTGTTCTCTGATTTTGTAAGAGAAAAAAAATGACATTTATGTTTGTTTAAGATAGCTACACAGGGAGTTTCCTTGTGACTTTTTCATGTATATATGATTATAACACAAATTGGTCCATCTCTGTTTTTCTCCTTTCTACCTTACTCCCCTTCTTATGGTGATTTCAGTAGGTTTAAAAATTCTATACTCATTCTTGTATAGGAAGTACATTAACTGTATTCACCTTCTTAACTCCTTTACCCTCCCTCTCTCTATGTGATCTCCATTTAGGGTGACCTGTTTTTCATAATATTGCTGTATTTATATTAAGTCTTTATTCCACATATGAGAGAAAACGTGTGACCTTTGGCCTTCTGAACCCAGCTAACTTCACTTAAGACAATGTTCTCTAGTTCCATCCATTTACTTGCAAATGACAAAATCTCATTCTTTGTATGGCCACACTATTTCAGAGTTGAGATAAAATTAAGGTGCTAGGGAGAGGAAGATTATCTGTAGATGTCTGCTTTGAGCAGCCTGCCTCAAGTTACTGAGTGTAGGTAGAAATGGGATTTCTAAGAGTCA